TAACATCACTGAAAAGGGAAAGGTGCCCCCAAACCTTCCCGCCTTGGCCCTTCTCGATGGCAGTCCTCCCCCCACCTTCAGATGCCTCTGTGGCAGGGCTGTTCTCCTGAGAGGGCAAAGAAAGAGGGCTTCTCTTCTGAGCCACCTTTGGGACAATTGCAGAAAGCCCTTCCTGCTCCCTCCAGATGGGATCCCTTCACAGCCCAAGGCTAGGGACACAGTCCTCTGCCATCTCCCTCCAATATTCCAGACCCTGCTGCTAAATTCCCCACATGGCCTGGGGACCCATACCCCAAGTCCTTCCTTCCCCCACTCTCAGAAGCAAACCCTGAGTCTTGAGTGAGAGGGGATTTCTCAATCCCCAGGGAGACATGGGAACAGCTCAGAAAAATCCCAACTCCACTGAACCCAAATGTAGATTTCACAGCCCTGAGGGAATTATGACAAGATAGTGGGAGAGTCTTCTATCAGCATGAATGGTGAAATGTTTGGATTCCAAAGGTGTCACTGTACCTCCTTCCCCTATGTTCTTCCAAAAAAGAATCATGGACCAGTCTAGGAAGACTCTGGTACTAGGAAAGGAAGTTGGATCAATCAACTTGTGGAAGGTCCTGAATCCCCTGTCCCTTCAACCCAGGCAAGGGGCCTTCCTTCTGCTTGCCCAGAGAAGGGTTCTACAGAAGTCATATGTAAACTCTTTTTTTTTTTTTTTTTTTTGAGTTGGAGTCTCACTCTGTCGCCCAGACTGGAGTGCAGTGGCTGCTCCCGGCCACTGCACGCGACCTCCAGGGCTCCGGTGATCCTTCCGCCTCAGCCTTCCAAGTAGCTGGAACTACAGGCACGCGCTACCACGCCCGGCTAGTTTTTGATTTATTGTAGAGATGAGATCTCGCCAAGTTGCCCAGGAGGGTCTCGAACTCTTTTTAATCACAGGACCCCGTCTTCAAGTGAAACAATGTTATATACCCACAGTTTAAACAACTGCTAAGAGCAGGCTGCCCTGGGTGTTCTAGGGGTGGAGTCAGAGCCTGCGCTCCTCTGTCAGCTGCTGAAACAACCCTCACCACTTCATGAAGCCCTGCCTTGTCTCCCTGTGTTAGCCCTGCCAACATCCCTTGGACTGCGAAGGATTCTATTTGCCCTGCTGGAATATGGACATAACTTTCTCCCTCTCGCTCCTTCCCCTGGCCCACAGCCTGAGCCTTTTGGAATGGAAGGGGACATCTCAGTTGAGGGCAGGGAGATTGAGAGGGGAGTCCCATGAGGAGTTGCCTTCTGGGATCCTCCGCATCCCACCAGGACCACTGCCAATACTGAGCATCCTGGTCCCATACAGTTCAACTGGACCCTGGTAAAAACTAGCCCAGCTTCCTCTTCCTCAGAGCTCCCAAGTCCGGAAACCCCAAGGCCACAAGGGGCCTCTTTCGGGCCAGAGGAGCCGTGTGATACTACCTTCAGCAGGTGACCCCAGAGTTTCCCACCTGCTCTGCCTTCTCTGAGGAAAGGTGCTGGGGCCTGGGCAGGGCCAGGCTGGAGGAGCTTTCCTTTCCCTGGAGCGGGGTGGTGCGGGGTGGGGTAGGTGGTCTGGAATGTGCCCTCACCCCCTCCTCCTGCTCAGGTGGTGAGAAGCCAGAGCCCCCAGCCCTCGGGCTCTGAGGGGCAGCTCCAGTGAGCCAGACGGACCGGACAGCTGCCCCCAGTAGGGTCCCCTTCACGCGCCATCTCACCCCAACTCAGACGCTAAAAATGGTTCTCTGGTTTTCAGCCTCGGCGCCTGCCCACAAATTAGTGTCTCCAACACAGCCTCTCGGGACATGACTTTAGGGAGGCCCCTGGGGGAGTCAGGAGGCCTCAGCGAGGGGAGATGGCACCGGCAGAGTCCCTTTCTGAGGCGACAAGAGTGGGTACAGCCCCCATCCCAGCTTCATGAGACTCCCCACCAAGGCCACTCAACCTCAGCGTGACAGTTCTGGTCTTCTTGCCACAGCGGAGGAAGAGACTTTATTTCCACCCCCCTGGGACACACTCCCCTCACCTCCACCCCAGTTCAGCCAGCCTCGCCCGCAGCCCCCATCACGGGCGCTGCTCTGCGGGAGGAGAGAGCAGCCAGCGCAGCGGAGGCAGCCAAACCCGAGCCCCCCTGCTGGGGTCCGGAACCCACCTCGCCACACGCCCTGGGCCCAGCTGGGAAACCAAGGCAGGGAGTCGCGGGCCCTCCCCTCCCCAATCCCGCAGCGGGCGACCAGCAAGGGAAAGC